GGTGTCACTGTGCAGTGCAGAGGGGTGTCACTATGCAGTGTAGAGGGGTGTCAGGGTATGCACAAGCATCTAGATTAGTCTGTATGTCAGTGTTTATCCATATGCACCATATTCAGAAGTGCACAGTACATAATAGTATATATACACAGCAGTGGACAGAGTGGTGTACAGGAATGCATTAAACAGGACTGTATATAACAGTGTATACATAGCAATGGACAGTCCAATACTGTATATAGGAGTGCATATATATATACTGTAGCAGTGGACAGTACTGTATACAGGAGTGTACATACTGTACACCAGAAAACTGCAGTGTATATAGAAAGTTATGTACAGGTAGTTGTACCTCAGTGAACTGTAGCTCCATGGCCGGTACTCCTGCAAAGGCTGTAAAGCTGTAGGCCCCACTGTTCAGAAACAGCGGCTTCACTCTGAGACAGAGACACAATTAATCCACCTCTTTCTGCTGTTATTACATGCTTGTGAACCCCGTTATTGACAGTATAGCACTGCGTCAGGAACAAGTCAAGGTTTATTCCACGCTAAGAAGAGAAGAGAAGAAACACAACGTTTCAGTGAGGGAACACATCCGAAGAAGGCTCCACAGCCGAAACGTTGTGTTTCCTTTCTTCTCTTTTCAGCACAGGAATAAACCTGTACTTGTTCCTTTGCAGCCTACGCCTGCTGACGCAGCCCCCTACTCGAACCAACACTGCGTCACGTGTTTCTACACATTATCCCACACAGCTCCTGTACATCAGTATAGCACCATCACGGCAAGCTACCCCAGGGTGGGGACACTCACAATGGACTCCCCCAGGAGCTGCCCTGGCTCTGGGTGTAGCTGTTGATCGTCTGGCCGGCGTGCTTGGGGTGCTCCACCTGAGGAGGACAGTGAAGGAAGCAGATGACAGATGAAGATGTAGGATAGAGAGGCAGTAGGGAAAGGGGGAGAGGAAGGAAGAGGGAGGGAGGAGGTGGGATTTGAGGGGGGAAGGGAGAGCAGGAGAGGGAGACGGAGAGAGAGAGGGACTGTTATCTTGCTCCAAACCCACCAAAATGAGAGAGACTTGCTTCCTCCTCACTTGCGAGTCAACAAGCTGCCCCGGGCTCCACCCTGCTGATGATCCTACCAGCACAGCAGGTGGGACAGTGGAGGCATACCCTGCACCGCCACCTCAAGCCAACAGGAGGCGCTCCTGAGCTTCACAGGTAGTAAGGGTGATTAAATCAAAATCCACATTAGCTCCTTAAGCCCATCTTTGACCAGCCCACTGTTACTGTGATTCCACAATCAGAGGCGGCATGGCCAGGGCTGTCTTGCTCCTCAGCAGCGCCCTCCTGTGGCTGTTTGTGGCATGGCATGTGGTGTGCTGCTCCCTAAGAGATTTCCAGTGGCCCCCTTCCCAGATTCCCGACCTCTTGCCCAAGAACAGTGAGGGTCAATGTGATGGCCTGCAGCCCCTCTAAGCTAGTTTGTGACATCTTGCAACACTGCTTCTTCTGGAATTAATTTTTGACCTGGGCTACTTTAAAAAAAATTGTAATGTTCTTTTTCCTGTGAAGATGTTACAGTTTCCAGTTCTTTACACTAACCTGGTTCATGGCTACTTCAACAAGTTTGGCCAGCAGGGGGCTGGAGTAGACTGACAGCTTGTCATCCCCTGGAAGACAAAGGAGCCAAGCACTGTGAGCATCAGAGGATAAGAGCACTGAGGAAGGGGCTGCAGGCAGAGGAGGGGATGTGAACAAGCTGTGATGACAGAGGGAGGAGCTGGAGGCGGGGCTGGGGGGTGTGAACAGCCTGTGATGACAGAGGGAGGGGCTGGAGGCTGGGCTGGGGGTGTGAACAGCCTGTGATGACAGAGGGAGGGGCTGGAGGCAGGGCTGGGGGGTGTGAACAGCCTGTGATGACAGATGGAGGGGCTGGAGGCGGGGCTGGGGGTGTGAACAGCCTGTGAGGACAGAGGGAGGGGCTGGAGCCGGGGCTGGGGGAGTGAATAGCCTGTGAGGACAGAGAGAGGGGCTGGAGGCGGGGCTGGGGGTGTGAACAGTCTGTGAGGACAGAGGGAGGAGCTGGAGCTGGGCCTGGGGGTGTGAACAGCCTGTGGTGACAGAGGGAGG